TCACACAAGCGCACGCATACACAATCCTCCCATCCCAAACATCTCAAAAGCAACATCAAAAACAACGTTAACAATAAATAACAGCAGCGACAACAACAACAAACAACAGCAACAACAAACAACAGCATCAACAACAACAAATAGCATTAACATCAATAACAACATCAACAACAACAACAAACAGCAACAACAGCAACGTCAGCAGCACAAACATTCCATGGCATGAAAAACGCACGAGAATATAAATTTCTCTACGCGAGTGAGCCTACGTAGCAAATCACAGAGTAAGCCAATAATCCACCATCAAACCTAGCTCACGTCAATCAGTTCCAGTACCACGCTCCTATTGGTCTATTTAAACTGTTTTTGACACGCCCATCTTAGTTAAAAGAACCAATGAGAGAACGTTTACGGTTAAAAGTCAAATACTTTCAGTTGCGCTGTTCCGAAATTTACATTTTATTTATTTTTTCACTATATAACGGCTCGTGCATGAGCTGAGTTTGTCATACTTGTAGGTAAACTGAACGATGATGACGTTGATGATGACGTAGATGATGACGCGGATGATGATGATGATTGGATGATTACGATGCTAATTATGATGATACCTGGCTACGTTTATCACTTGATATTGTCGAATTTTGATAGATGTTTGAGTTAATCCGTTAATTGTATCTGAAAATTTTAGAAAAATACTCTGAAAAATATTAATAAAATAGTATTAATCAGTTGTATATTTTGTATTTGTGCTGTTTAATAACTAAAAATTAAGCCGTTCAAGTTGAATTCCCCAACAACAATACAGTGAATTGCTTGTTTGATATATATTTATATATATATTTACTTATATATATATTTTAAAGAGTTGATCACGTATCAATAGTTGATGTTACTTGTATTGTTGGCGATTGTACATCGATCAATCCAGACAACATTTCACTTACATGCATCTATTATAAAAGAATTGGGCAAATGAAGATGACAGCAACAACAACAACAACAAAGACAACAACGATTTAACAAACAACATCGACAAAAGTAAATATCGTTACAATAATAACAACAACATCAACATTTTTAATAATAATAATAATCAGAAGAACATTAACAAAAACAAACGCAACAAGACTTACATCAACTTAACAACAAATTGGACAAATTTTCAACAAACATTTGTTTTTGCAACATCAACATAAAAAAACATTAAAACCAACATTAGAAACAACAACGACAACAACAACAAAAACTGCAAACATCAACATTAATGCAATGCATTCAAGCAGAAATGTGACATAGATTCATTCACTCATTCATTCATTCATTTACTCGTATCATGCTATCATGATGCATTCAATGTAAATACGTTAATTTCAATAAAGGATTAATGCGAGAAATTCTTTGAATTTTTAAATGATGATATTATTGTTAAACAGTATTATTTTGCTAGCTAACATTGTTAATACAACATGTTTACTGAGATACCGACTGATACTGAATAATACACAGCATCATAAAATACTGCTACTTACTTTTAGTTATTAAGAAGTACTCATTACTTAAACCCTTTTAAAGGTATACTTGAATTGTGAAATCTTACGTAAAAATTTGAAATTGTACTTAAAAGGCAACAATAACGTTGTTATTAATCTGTTAAAACTAATGACTATTAAAGCCTAAACTAGAGATGAACTATCCTATATTTTAAAATTTAACATCTAATAATCGTTACCAATAATAACTATTTTGGAACGCTCAAGCAATCCAGGTGCTTTCAAGTAACCCAGTGATCTGTACAAATCTCTACACACACCTGTACGACATCTAGACGAACACTCATTTGTATGAATAAGTAAACATTGTTGTACATCTGATACCAGCAACATCGTTTTTTGTGTTAGTTTAGACAAGCGAAAACATTGGAATCAACGAGTAACTTATTGTTCTCCACTTTGTGAACAGCGAGGCCGTATTTCAAATCAAAGAGAACTTCAATCATTCCATTGAAAAAATTTTATGATATTGTTTTCAGAAACCGCAACAGCATCAGCATCACCGCCAACATCCCCACCAAAAATTTGCACCATCCCCGCCAACATCACCGCCAATAATTTGCACCACCACCAGCAACAACAACCACAACGAAGCTAGCTAACCGAGCAAAAGTAAATGAAATCAAACATGGTGGTGTTGTGTGCTGGCTGTGATGCGCCCATCCTGGACAAGTTTCTCCTGAATGTTCTAGATCGCACATGGCATACTGACTGCGTGCAGTGTTACGATTGCAAAACTGTTCTCACCGAAAAGTGCTTCTCCAGAGATGGCAAACTTTACTGCAAGATGGATTTTCATAGGTCTGTTGCTGTTGTTTTCGTTGTTTCTGTCGTTGTCGTTGTTGTCTGTTTTTGTTGTTGCTGTTGTCGTTGTTGTCTTTGTTTTCCGGTTTTACAATAATTCGATTCATTTTTTTTCTGTGATTTCAAGTCATCTGTGAAGATTTGTTTGCTGGTTTGATGTCATTTCGTTGTATTTAATTCTGAATTTTTGTTTGAGTTTGTGGGTAGAACCGTCGATTCTTTCTCTCTCTTTCTCTCTTTCTCTCTCTCTCTCTCTCTCTCTCTCTCTCTCTCTCTGTATTACATTTTATTACATATAATTATATTATGTAAAGCCGACATAACTTACCAAACAAAAACGTATAACTGAATAAAAATTGAATTTAATTGAAAAAACACAATAATACTTGCAGTTGATTTTGTACATAAAAATACAAACGCTACAGTTACACTGTACTACAGTTACGTGATTGTTAATGTTACATTTCTAAGTACCATATTAACAACGCTATAGATGGGATTGCTTTAAAAAGTGTGTTGTTTTAATAGTATTCATCATCTTCTTCCTTTTCTTCATAACAATCATTCGCATCATCATCGTTGTCATCACCATTTCCATCGTTCACACTATCTTCATCTTCATCATTGTCGTCATCTTCATCATCGTCACAAGCAACATCACGTTGTTTTCTTGTTTTGTTCTACTCGATACACACCTACATTGCATACACGAATACACATGCACACACACACACACACACACACACACACACACACACACATACATACATACATACATACATACATACATACATACATACATACATACATACATATATACATATATACATACATACATACATACATATAAACAAGCAAACAAACAAACAAACAAACATACATACATACATACATACATACATACACAGATATAAAATTCAGATAAAAACAGATACAAACAAACATATAAAGCATACAATGCGTACACACACACACATACACATTTACTAACAGATGGATTGTTGTACGTTGTGTCAACACTGAAATACATCAGTGCACGTATAAACATTAGTGTGAATATTAATAACGTTATTACAACATGTACAAACAACAATTGCGTATGTATTAAATATCATATATAATCGGCTACACTATACGCAAACGTTTAGGTTTATAAACTAGCAGCTTCACTACTACAACTGCTACTCCTCTTCTAAACTCGCGTTCATCTGTTTCAAATGCAACCACCGCAGAACTCATTACATACAAATCATCTCACTGATTGACGCATATAATAATACTATGTTGAGGCATTTTTTTTAAAGTTTTATGTCCTGAAATTATTAATTGTTGTTATTAGTTTGAATAGGGAGATAACATTTGCAGGTAAATTAGCTTTTTTTTGAGATGCATAATATATAAATAAATGAAAATAATTTGTTTCCTGCAAGCAAAAACAAACTAGACTGAAGTAGAATTAGTAAGATTCGATGTCGGGCTGAAAATATGATGCACTGTAAAACTATGATGCTAATGCTGAATGACGATTGACACACATTTTAATAACACTATCGCAACTTTTCAATTGTTTTGCTATATAGAAAACTTCATAAAGTTCTTCTACGCTAGTGGCCGTGAATGTGGATCGCCACGCCACTGCTAGTCATACTTCGTTTGTTTGTTTAACATGCAAGTATTTGCTTATCCAGGGTTCAATTCAACCATTGCATACTAGTTGTTGATGAATTAATTGAAGATTGAAGTATAAATTAATTTAGAATTATATATTTGAAGTAATTATGTTAAGATTTATTAAAAATTAATAAATTTGTGTAGCTACGATGTTCCGAAAATTTTCGTGTATGTATTTATTGACGCGTGACGACCACTAAGAAATATTATTTGTGTAGATAGAAATACCGAAGACCTTTTCATAAAAGTTTCAAAAGAACTCCAAAAAAGACAGCAGTTGATTATGGTGATGATGGATCAATGACGCCTATGATGATGAATTAATGTTGGTAATAATGATGATGATGAAGAAGAAGATGATGAATTAATGATTATAAAGATGATGATGATGATGATGACAACGACGATGGTGGTGATGATGATGAATTAATGATGATAAACATTACATTGATGATGATGATGACGATGGTGTTGATGAGGATGGTGACGATGACGATGATGATGGTATTAAAAATTCGAATATGTCAATTATAGTAGCAACACCGATTGTTGAATATCGTCAAATGAATTTGACAAATAGCTAACTGACTGACGTGTTAGAAGAGGAAATAAAAACCAGAAAAAATAAATAAAAATGATAAAACATAAAATAATAATATTAATAATAATTATAAACATTAATAATAAATTATATTGATACAATGATCATATTAGTAATAGGAATAAAATATCTTTGTGTTTACAACTGACAAATTAATCTCTTAATCTGGTTTGGTGTTAAAAGTACAAACTTGTTGAGACGTTGTTGTTGTTGTTTTACCGTTACTGTTGTTGATGTTGTTGTTGATTATTGATGTTGTTGTTTTTCCTGTTGTTAGTTATGACGTTGTTGCTGTCTTTGTGGTTGCAGTTGTTCTTTGTTGCAGAAGTTGTTCTTGTCGTTGCATTTGTTCATGTCTTGTTGATATTTTGTTGATATTTCAAAAAAGCAAATGTGTCTTCGTCATGCGTTATATACTTGTTTACTTGTTAATAGCTTGAACGGTGATGAACATGAAATATGAAGTTTTTTTTAAAAATTGTTGTATATTGTAACCAAATTTTATTAATTATAAACGTTTAAACTGGCTAGTTAATTTAAACAAAAACAAAGACAATTGCTGACTGAAGTAGTAAAATGTGAATATTTTAAAATCAATTTGTATTAATTTTTTCCATAAACCTTCTCACAACTTGTAATTTGCACAATCCTCAAAAAAACTCTACCCAATAACCACCACATTCCCCATTCAACAATACCATTTTCTGCCACTTTTTCCATCAGACGCTTCGGCAAGAAGAAGTGCGGCGGTTGTGGCCAGGACATCTCAGCCACAGAACTCGTGAGGAGGGCGCGCGATCGCGCCTACCACCTCAAATGTTTCACTTGCATCGCCTGTGGCAAGCAGCTATCAACTGGAGAGGAGTTGTACATGTTGGACGAAGCTCGCTTCCTCTGTAAAGATGACTACCTCGTTAAATTCAGACGTATGTTTAAACGTTTTTTTTTTATTACAGTTTTCGAGCGTGTGTTGTTTTATATTTATTATTTTTGAGTGTCAAGTTTTGTTTTATTAAATTTCTTCAAATTTTTCTTTCGTTAACATGAGTAGAAATGCACACGAAACACAAGTACGCCTGAAAAAGACATCTGCAGGCAGACAGACACACACACACGCAAACAAACACACACACACACAAACACACACACACACAGCGTAGTCAAGCATCTGGTAAGGTCGACCTTGACATTACATCATTTTCTGACGTCAACGACCGACGAACGCGCGATAAGGATTATAACAGGAATTTCTGGACTGAAAAAAGCGCTTAATAATTAATAACAGCAAACATAACACTTGCGAACACTTTATTTTTAAAAATAATCCATTTTATTGGTTATTTTAACTATCACTATACTAATTATTTTTATTAAACTTTTTGCGCCAATTAAGTAAAAATATCTTTTAACAATTCTATCGCTCTCTTTTTCCATTCATTCACTTTTGTTCATTTAATTACTCCATCCTTCCATCAAATCAAACATTCATTTCATCTGACCACAACAAACATGAAGTGACTGACTGACTACCGACGCACACGCCCATGCAGTATGTCCCTATGTTACCGCTGTAAGAACTTCAACTTGACGTTTTTTTATTCTTTAAAATGTAATTATAACCATAATTTTCTATAATAATTATTTATATTTATTATGAATACAGTCAGTGGCATAGAAAGACTTCAGTTTAGAAATCAATTTCATTAACGTTTTCACATATTTAAAAACTTACATATCGAAGGCAATATTTTTATACAAAGTCACCAAATTCAACAAATTAAAGTGTTGACGGTAGATTGAAGTAGTTTCAAACGTAAGTTCTTTGGAAGAATTTTGTTTAATTCAACGTTTAACTAATCTTTAACCCTAAACCATTGCGGAGGGTACGAGACCTAAACGTTTTAAACGGACTTTGATCATTATGAATGAGAAATTTTGTTTTTCTCACGAAAGATTACTACAATAACTACTACTACTGATATTATTGTCGTATCTAATATTGTCTATGTAATTAGTCATATTTTTTTAGTTGCGTGATTTTAAGAAAATTTTATATATTGTTGATAATTCTATATCGAAGAAGTCGTATGAGCAATTGTAGTAGCGTCTGCAGCAGTAGTAGTAGCAGCAGCAGCAATAATAACAGCAGCAACAGCAATGCACTAATTGTAGAAATAGAACAACAAAAATAACAACATGATAAATATAGAACTACGCAGCGTTTTAGCAGTGACATTACAAATAATTATTTATAAGGGACATCTCGACAAACCAAAAAACTAACAAACGACCAAATAAACAAACGAACGAACGAACGAACAACTAAACAAACCAACACCAACTATACAGATAAACGGACAGACAGACAGACAGACAAGCCAGCAAGCAAACTATCGTGATAAACAGACATTCATTTAACGTCAGTTGCTCGTGAAAAAAACAATTCTTTTCTTTCATTTAAAACAGTAACAATAAACGTTTTAGCATATAGAATATTAAGAAACTGTCGTATAACAATTCCTCATAATTTTCACATTTTTCTTACAACTCAATCGAATAAAAACGTAAAACTAGCTCCATATAAGTTCAAAATGAAAACAAATCAAACAAAATTACATACGGACAACAACAGCAACAAAACACAACACCATATATACATACAAAATCAAAGCAGCACATTTCACGGCGGTCACAAACTAACACCGGCCAAACACTGCACAACAAAAACACTCGAAAACAACAATAACACACTTGACAAGAACAAAAACACTCCAACACGCACAACACAACACACACACACACACACCACACGCAGACTACACAGCAGTGACGAAGACAACAGACCAAAATCACAAAATAATGCACAGCAAATAACAAAACCATCACACATAACATCAGAGTTTCATAACATTACACAAAACGCAAAAAACAATACAAAACCACGTAGAACCACACAGGCCAACACATCACGCACCACACGCACAAAAAACACACACAAACATACACAAACACATCCCACACACGGACGCATCACACACACACGTAAACATACACGCATACACACACACACAAAACGACAAACACAAACTAAACAACAAGAGCAGAGGAGAGCATGCCACATGAAAACCACTGGGTGCGGAATCCATTAAGATTTCTTTCAAGATAGCGCAGTGGTTAGACAGTAGGCATACTGACGCAAAGGTCCTAGGTTCAAATCCCGGTCAAATTGATTTTAGATCTTCATACTTTACTGTTCTTCATTTTTTGTGCTTGCGTGTTTATGAGTTTGTATGTTTTGTATGTTGACGTTGTTATGTTTTGCTTGTGTGGTTGTATGTCCGAATTTGTTGAGTTTCGTTTTTAAGGTGATTTAGTTACTCAAACTTGATATTTATGTTTTTGTTTCGTTGTTTATGTAGGCTAATATTTTTTGTATTAATAAGTTTTTTTTTGTAAGTTTTTGTTGTTATTGTAGATGCTTTATTGTTTATATATATATATATATATATATATATATATATATATATTTGTTTTTATTTGAAGTTTATTTTATATCGTCTGAAGTAAAAAAGTAGTTGATGTTATTGTGTTGATGATGTCAAACTTTCATGAACGATGCACAATGAGTGGGTCACCAACCAACGCCATTATCTTCCTGCTACTTTCATTTTCTTTCTCATCACCACCACCATGGTGTAAATGCTTGTGTTAAAGCAAAGAGTGTACGTGAATGCACGTACATGCAGTGGAGTGTACGCGCTGTGGAGTGCACGCTCAGTGAAGTGTACAGTTATGTGGTTGACGTTGTGATGGCGTATTGACTACTTTTTGATTAGCTTTGGTTCTACCGTAGGTCTTGGATGCATACGCCTGTGGGATAGCTACTCTATGTTTGCCTGTGTGTCTGTGTTTGTAAGGCTTGTTTGTTATGTGTTTGTACGCTTGTTTGTTTGTGTACGTGTTTGTACGCGCGTTTGTAAGCTTTTTTTGTTTGTGTTTGTTTGCTTGTATATGTTTGCTTGGATATGTTTGCTTGGATATGTGTGTACGATTTGTTCATTCGCTTGTTTGTAGGTATGTTACCAGCCATGATGTTTATATACAATCGTTTGCATGGTTGCTTATTTGATTTAGCATTTGATATTTGTCTGTATGTAAATTTGTAAAGAATGTAAGTTTCTGAGATTTTAATTTTTGTTTTTTAAGGTTTTGTTTAATTCTGAACATGAATGACGTTTAAATGTTTTGTAAATGTTCTTTTGCGTTTGCAAAGATGTCTGTCAGTTACCCATTGATCGTGAAAATCTACAAGCGTGTTTATGTCGGGGAAGCTTTTTGTTGTCAAGAGAGATCCAAGAGACAGTGGCGAATTTAGGCATAGGCGCACTAGGCGCGTGCCTAGGGCCCCCAGATTTTAGGGGCCCCCAAAACTTGAAAAATGAGTTTTTTGGAGGCTTCAAAATATTTCGCACAAAAAAATTTAATAAGTTTGAGAAAAATTAATTTTACATTTTCAGATAATATATTTCATAATTATTTCTAAATATTTTTGAACAACGTATGAAAAAAAAATATACAAACAACAATTTATGCGTTGCCGAAAATGCGCGCGCGAATTTTCGCTCAACCCTAAATTAAAAATGTAAACAAACTTTTGAATTGTGGTAAAATTCGAACACTATTGGCGCATCTTACGTCACAGATCTCAATTAAAAATTTCAATTCAAATTTTAATTTTTTGTAATAACTTATTGTTAATTGCCAGTTTATTACACTATTTTAATAATTTCACTGTGTGGATGAATGATCATTTTTCCTTTCTGCTGCTGATTGCAACACAATCGTTTCATTAAAATTAAAAATTTAAAACAATGTCTATGAGACAATATTCCTCGGGTGCAAAAAAACGTGATATTCAAAAGAAAAGCAGAAGATGCGAAAAATGAAGGCGCCTTGTTGACATTTTTAGCGAAACGACCGGTAACCCCATCATCAGAAACTACTCAAACAGAAATAACAGATAACAGCTGGTAATCAAAGTGCAGTCGTCTCGGCAACAGCCAGTATGGATTCTGAGTCCTATCCAACAGAATTGCCAGAATCTGAACCGCCGGCTGAAGGTTCTATAGAGGTCGCGAGTAATGAAACTGTCGATAACAACTGTAGTGAAATTTTGACAGATATTGCTATGTGGCCAGCGAATTTGACAGAAACCATGCGTAATTATGTTTTGGATTTCAAACCAAAAAATGTTGGCGACTTTTCACGCGCTAGCATGTTGATGACAGATCGTGGTAGACAATATTTTTGTCATTTGTCTGAACATAACTTTTACTTGACCAAGGCGAATGGCCAAAAAGAAAGACGTGAATGGTTAGTGTTCAGTGAAACTAGTGGAAGTGTTTATTGTTATGTATGCAAACTGTTTCCAAATAAAGCTAGTCAATTTTCAACAAATGACGAAAGCAATGAAGCGGAAGTTATTTTAACTGGTCGTGATAATTTTATTGTTAACACAGTAAACGCCATTTCTGATAAATTGATCACGGAACTTGATCACAGAATCGAAGCATACAAAGGTATACATGATTTGTTCAGTCTATTTTTCAAGGACAAGGTAGATGACATGAACACAAAGATCTCGGCCTTGATCGAAGAATACAAAGACGATGTTAATTCTGATACCGCTGGCGATGAAATCAAATAGTTTTTGCATTTCGCTTAAGGAAGAAGGCGCAAAATCTGCGGTAGAGATGTACCAGCTTAGAGTGGTGGGTGGACTACAATGTACATTTCCCAATGTGGAAACCCTTCTAAGAATCTTTCTCACCATTCCTATATCAAACGCAACTGGAAAACGGTCACTTTCTGTGTTGAAAAGGATCAAGAATTACTTGCGGAATTCCATCAGCCAATGTAAGCTGGGAGATTTGTCTATTTTATGCATTGAATCAAAGGAGACATTAGAATACTGACTCCTTCGCGAAATTGAAGAGCATGAAAAAAGTTATATAACTGTAATAAACTGACAATTGTAATTTCTAACTAGTATCTATAGCTGTAGTATCTATACATGCGAAATAATACATGGGTATGAGTGTTCTAACTATTGTTGTATTATGATCATTGAGAGGGCCCCAAATTGGTCGTGCGCCTAGGGCCACAGTTTTTGTAAATACGCCTCTGCCAAGAGATGTGCAAATTTTATAATAAATCACATTTACTTTTACCAGTAAGACCACATCTAAACACACAAAAATCACTCATAAGCATAATTACACATTTCAAAAACACGTGTGCGAGCGTTTAAGTTACAATTAGTAGAATGAAACGAACGAAGCGTTAGACATGATGATGAGTAGCGTGAGGTGTTTCTATGTTTACATAAGCAAACGAGCTCATCAATCAAATTATGTCACTTGCTCGCGAAATAAAAAAAAAAGATTTTCAAACAAATATATGTTTGTATGTATGTGTGTATACGTATATGTATATAATTTATAGTATATATATATATATATATATGATGTTTGTATATAATATATATATATATATATAATATTATACATTTAAATAAAAGCCTGAACTGTAACATCCAAGCATCAATGCATCAGATGATTGATGCTGCTGAATGTGTGGTGTGTGCAGTGCATGTCTCCTCCTACATGCATATTTACATTTGTGTGTGCATGTCTGTTTTAGTACCTATTAAAACACATGTTTGTGAATTTTTTTTTTCATAAAATTTGTTTGGCCGTCTTGCGTTTGTAGTTACGTATATGTGTGTGCGATTTGAAGGCAGTGCGTGTACTCATTTTTGCTTACGTTGTAGAAATTATTACAAACAATTAAAACAAGTTTGAAATTTTTTCAAATTTATATGGATTCAAAAACAAACCTAAAACTACAGACGTACAGACACAAACAATAAAACAAAATCATACAAACACGCGCATCCAAACGTAGTCATACAAACACAGAAGACACACAAACATAGAGATTCAAGCACAGTCATACAAACACTGACATACAGGCACAGACAAACAAATTCAAACACACAAACAAAGACATTGCGACACAGACATACCAGTAGAGCACACAGAGTTTTCTGATATCGACACCTCATCAAATGAAATCACGCAATCGTTTGACCCAAAATATGAAGACGACGAAGACGATTATGATGATAAAAACAGCGCTATATAAATACAGAATAAATAATAATAATAATGATAAAAAAAATGAAAGTGATTATGATGATTACAGTGATAATGACGGCAAAAACAATGATAATGAGAATTTCAATTTAACGCTAACAGAAACAACGTTGGATGATGAGCTTGGGAAGGACGAACAACGATAGCATTAATAACAATGATACATATGTTACTGGGAGTGCTTGATGCGTTTTAAAAGTTGAAACTTTTACCAAAAATTTTAACGGATTGCGATGACGACGACGATGACGACGATGATGACGATGATGATGACGATGATGACGATGATGATGACGATGATAATGATGATGATGATGATGATGACGATGATGATGACGATGATGATGATGATGACGATGATGATGAGAGCAAGATGGCATTAACAATGGTGACGATGATGATGATAAAGACAGACAGACGATGATGATGATGATGATGACGATGATGATGATGATGATGACGATGATGATGATGATGATGATGATGACGATGATGATGAGAGCAAGATGGCATTAACAATGGTGACGATGATGATGATAAAGACAGACAGACGATGATGATGATGATGATGACGATGATGATGATGATGATGACGATGATGATGATGATGATGATGATGACGATGATGATGAGAGCAAGATGGCATTAACAATGGTGACGATGATGATGATAAAGACAGACAGACGATGATGATGATGATGATGACGATGATGATGATGATGATGACGATGATGATGATGATGATGATGATGATGATGATGATGATGACGATGATGATGAGAGCAAGATGGCATTAACAATGGTGACGATGATGATGATAACGAAAGACAGACAGACGATGATGATGATGATGATGACGATGATGATGACGATGATGATGACGATGATGATGATGACGATGATGATGACGATGATGATGATGGAAGTGATATGACAAGTTTACTGGTTTTTGTAGCTGATGTCATGAGGGTAATTGTGATGACGATGATGATGAAGAAGAAGAAGATGATAAAGATGAGATGGTAATGATGATAATGGTGACAAGTGGTGACGATTATATTTGGGTTTCAAGTATAAAAATAAATTTCAGTTTGCTGGCAAATATGTTTCTCTATTTCTCTTTCTTTCTATCTCTCTCTCTCTCTCTCTCTCTCTTCTCTCCCTCTCTCTCTCTTCTCTTTCTCTATCTATCTATATATATATATATATATATATATATATTATTAATTGATGTATTATATATATATATTTATGTATATATATAAGCACACACACACACACTCACACACACACACAAACAAACAAAATTACTAATGCAATACGTGTGCACTTATAGAAAATAGGTTCAACACACATACACACGTACATACATAGACCCAACATATACGAACTGCTGTACGCATTTTTGTACGCATTTTTGTACGCACGAATTTAGTACAAGCCTGTCATCGTCGTCATTGTGTTGTCGTCAGTCGCAGATCACTGAACACAATGCAACCACCAGGCAGCTAAACACGTGTGAATTGTGTGGGTGTTTTTGTGTCTGTGTGTGTGTCTGTGTTTGTGTCTGCGTTTGTGTCAGTGTGTGTGTTTGTGTATGTGTGTTTGTGCGTGTGCGTCAATGTTTTACTACTATTATTATTTGTATTGTAAAACGCCTACTGCAAATCGCGCGGGTGCTAATGACATCATGAGCATGGTTTTTGGTTATCCCAATTGATAGCCATTAAGCAGTTTAAACAGATATGATTGATGAATTGATTGATTGATATATCAGCTGAATTGTTTGTTGTTGTTTAACCTTTTTATCAACGAGACAAGTAGATTTTTGAATGTGGAATTTTGTTTTTGCAGATGTTTCAGTGAATAACAATTTATTTCATTTGTTTCTATGACAGTCATTATTACCATTCAAATCAAAATTTATAAAATCAACTTGAAGATTGCATTAAGAAGTATATGCACTGTTCTGTTATATATTGAAATTACAGTATAAACATTTCAAATGAAAAGTGTTTTGTATGAAATTTGAATAGAGCACAATTTTAATATATGAAAAGTATGTGGGGTTGCTTTGCTAGTCTGATCTGATATATTATTCGGAAGAATTTGTCGTAGTTTACATTTTAAAAATAATTGACGTTTTTTATTTGTTGGCCGTCGTGATATCACATTAAAAATTTATAATTTAAAAAAATTCAAATTCAAAATTTCAAATTCACTGACATTTAAATATTCAAAAAAAAATTACAACCCAAAAAAATTTCCAAACTTTCAGCTCCATTCAGCGAACAAGATCATCTCATCAACATGCTGAAACACAACATCAACAGCAGCAACAGCAGCAGCAGCAACCACAACAACCACAGCGACAACAACAACAACAACCTCCTATCAAACAACAACCTCAACAACAACCTCAACAACAACCTCAACAACAGCAACGATGACGACCTCAACTTTTCAGAAAAAGATGACGAGAGCGGACGAGAGGACGACGACGACGACGACGACGACAACGATTCATACTGCAACGGCATGACAACGACATCAAACAACAACAACAACGCAACAGAAAAAAACAACATCAACATGATCACGTGCAACTCCAACAAACGCAGCCACCCCATGCAAATCAAACAGGAAGACCACACGCTCCTATCCAACATCAACAACGCAGACAGCCTAGATTCCCTCAACAGTTTGAACGACAGCGCCGGTGGTGGCAGTGGCGCTAGTGGTAACGGCAGTGGCGGATTGATTGGTTTAGGTGATGAATTAGGCCCAGGTGGGCGCGGCTTGTTGTCCTCTGGAGCCAATGGGAATGGAGGAAGTATGACGTCACAGGGTGGATTGAAGAATAACGGAGATTTATCAAAGGATTCAGTTGGTATGTTATTCTTCCTCTTCTTGTTTGTTATATTTAATTTTTTTTATTGGGTTTTGAGGAGGTGATTGTTGATCAGTTATTTGGTTATGAAATTGTTTGGACATTTTTCCTATTTCTCAAAACGATGTGAAAAATAAAATGAACATAACAAAATTACAATATTTTTTATTTAAAAAACTCTTTCATTATATTTGTTCTACATATATTTTTAAATTTTTTCGAAAGTCTAAACAATTTTTCATAAAAATTAAATATTTTCTATCTACAGTGGACACGAACTCCTCAGGAGCAGGCAAACGCCGAGGGCCCCGCACAACCATCAAAGCAAAGCAGCTGGAAACGTTGAAAGCTGCATTTGCGGCCACACCGAAACCAACGCGCCACATCAGAGAACAGCTGGCACAAGAAACTGGACTCAACATGAGGGTCATTCAGGTCTGTTTAATGTGGAGGAGGAAATTTGCGATGATGATGTGAGGATGGGATGAGGGTGATGGCGTTGATAACGTCATTGAGAAGTGGGATAACCCTTTAAATGTCTGACAAAACAGGATTTGTTAATTTGATAAAATGAAAATTAAAATTAAAAGTTGGCCAACGTTTTCACTCTCAGCCATCCAACTCTCACATCAATCGCCAACAAATCAGCCAATCAACCTTTCAATCAACCATTCAGTTAATGAATACTCAAGAATGACATTTTATGCACACCACCAGGTCTGGTTCCAGAACAGGCGATCAAAAGAACGACGGATGAAACAACTGAGTGCTCTTGGTGTTCGTCGTCAGTTCTACCGCAATCCCCGGAGGTTGAGGGGTTTGAGGCCCGGAGATGACCTCGTTGATGAACTGGGTCAACCAGGGTTCAACTATTTTGTAGGTCAGTTCAAGTTGTGCTCTGTTAAGTGATGGTTTTTTTTCAAAAATTTCTATTAAAAATGTCACCAAAGTAAGTTTTGTTATAATTTGTTGGATGTTAATTTGAGGATTTGTTAAAATGATAGTAAAATATTTTGTTACGTTAGTGTTGTATTATCTTGAATGAAGATGACTTTTTTGTTGTCTAATAAATTAACAACTTTGCTATGATGCATAGCTGGTAGAGTTTAGTGTTCAACAGCTGCTGTCTCTTTTCAAGCTTTCAACTATTCATTCATTTAGTTTAGTTATTTTAAAGTATGATTATTTTGTGTAACGCGTTTTTATTGATAAGTTTGAAATTATTGCTGATTGATGCTTGTTTACATTTTAAAAACGAAATTACTAATTGCATTCTATCACGTTGTATCACGTTGTAATCATTGTACACTTATCATATTGTATCGCCTTGTGCATGATTCTACTTGCGTATATGTATTTATTACGTTACATATAATTATACAAACGAATCGTGAACAGACATATGCGTGCATGTTGGTTCATGTTGTCCGGCGTCCAATCACGTTACGTCATCTGATCAGCTCAGACATATGCTCGCTTCACACGTGATCAAGATGCATTGCCTGCACATTACATTGTTCATGAGGCCCGAGGTAGCATGCCACTTGTTAGGAATTGTCAACAGACTTGAATAAATACACATAAGATCAGTTTGCTTTTGAGTCCATCTAAACGATGTAAAAATCATTCGGCATAGTTAGAAAATTTTGTTTCGCATTAAATAGCATAGTAGTTACATTTTTGAGTCATAAGTTATGAACACATAGTGGTAAACCAAATGAAAGACTTGGGCTTCTTCAGAAGGGTTGGTGTTTGCAGTTTGCGTTGTTGTTTCTACTCTACTCAGCTCTGCACTTTCGTGTTTTGATCATTGGAATAATTTTTGCAAAGTGGGCTTGACAGAGAGAAGACTACAAAGGACTCACACAGCGCCGAACCAGCAGCCATCCGATTGTGCACATTGGCACAGAACTAAGAATATCGACTCACCATGAACTGGCATGCGCACATGAAGCCGAAGTAGAAAATATAAATAGCTGTAGGACAAACATATCTTAATACTAAAAATTAACTCGAATTCATAGGGATTGAACGACCTACATACAAACTATTGAACGAGCAACAAAACGTACATATACACAGGCAAATATAACTGCGATGTCCCACCAAATATTCACACACACACACACATACACACACACACACATACACACACACACACACACACGATTTAAACAAGTAAAATTCACACAAAGCTCACTCACTCATAAATACACGTGCATACAAACAAATACATACAATACGCGTTTAAATATACGAAAATACAAAAGTATTTAACACATACCGTTAGATACACATGAAAAACGTCATAATCATTTACACATGCAAACAAATACACATTTTAGCATAGATATAATGTATATATATACATACAAACAAGCAACATATATACAATACATGTACATATAAGCAAACATACAAAGTATACAAACATACAAAGTATACAAACAAACAAGCACAGGAACCAAAGTTTTAACCATACATACAAATACGCCTTCATCTGGTTCACCAGCATGAAACTTATGTTTTTTCGTTCGCACCATTTATCTTACACCCATTCTTTCATCACGATCTTTCTCCATCTCTCTTTCATAAATTTTGTCGGAATGGGTACCTTTCACTAATAATAATAATAGTTATTATAATAATTATTATGATAATAATCATTATTCTTATTGTTGTTGGTATTATTATTCAGTTAGTTACTATGATGATAAAGTTGTTGACGATAAGGATGATGATGATGATGATAATGATGATGATGATATCAAAGTTGGTGGCAAAACTGATGATGACGGCGACGATGTTGATGATAGAAATTTCGAAAATGATGAAGACGACGACGACGACGATGATGGTATAAGCAGTCATAATAATAATAAACAAAATTTTTTTTCGAAAAGATATTTTTCCAGTTCGTTCTCATTTTTCTTTTAATATAAACCCAACAACACATACTCACACTCACACACACAAACACACACACTCTTTCTCTCTCTCTCTCTCTCTTTATCTATCTCACACACACACACTCACACACTCACACACGCATAGATACACACATACATATACGCATTGATAAGTTTGTACATACCCACAAACACACATACATACAGGCATGCATACATACAAACAAACATAGGTAAATACATATTAAGTTAAGTTTTATTTATTTGAAATAAGTTTTAGATGTAAATGCAGTTGTTTGCAGGCATACACATACACACACATTTCATACAATTCAAACATACAAAAACACACTCAAACATATATAAATATAAACATACATGCAAACAAACAAAACAACATTCAGTGATGCAATATATGTGTAAGTATATATAGATATATATATATATATACATACATTTACGAAACCTCGGGTTTTTCAATTTATTTTGCATGTTACCCCATTTGAAGCCTACCTTTGATGTATAGATTCTCCACCGCTGGTACCACGTGTGCGCTACACAAACATCAAATACAAACATACATACATACATACAATACAAATACAAAACGCATACAATACGAACATACAAACACCAATTTTTATACATACAGTACAAACACATATTTATACACATGCATACAAACATTGCACACATAAAAACATACGCATACATATGTATGTATCACATGCATACATACATACATACATACATACATACATACATACATACATACATACATACATACATACATACATACATACATACATACATACATACATAAATACATACATACATAAACACATACACACTTACATACATTTGATACAATTATAACAGTGTAATTAATATTAGTAGTGTAGTATTAGTAGTAGTAGCAGTAGCGTAGCAGTAGTAATAGTAGTAGTAGTAATGGGTAATAGTAGTGGTAGTAGTAATAGTAGTAGTAGTAGCGACTTATTTTTCTGGATGTAGTAGTGTGACCTCTGGATCAGTAATAATCCATTAATCACATTTCCACTGGTGTTAATTCTTTCTTGCACTCCACACGAACCAACCACACACACACGCACACACACACACGCACGCACACACACACACGTTTTCACACATACATACACATACACGCACATATATACACATTTATTTGTATGTGCGCGTGCCTGCGTGCGTGTGTGTGTGTATGTATGCATGTATGTATATTTTTTGCAGGCCACACACTCAGCCACTTATTCGTAATTGATTTTTTCCATTCTAATTCTTCTTTTTCTTCTTATTATTATTTATTTGACAATTAACTAACAATGAAATAATAATAAAATTAATAATAATAATAATAATGGTAATAATAATAATAATAACATTTTTATTGTCAGCGTTTTATTGAGTTAATTCATATACAGAGTCAAAAATAAACTTAACATCTGATGAATACCTAAGAGAGAATAATGTTAACCACAATAAACATGAACCGGAGGGCAGCGATGAATGCGTTTTGGTAAATTTAAAAGCGTTTTTCAAATTTAAACGCGTTCGTGTAATACGTAAAGTATATACATTTTGAATATATATATTCACGTGCACGTACATTTGCTTGTTATCACCTACACACGTACATAAAAATACACATCGCAAATTTGCACATACAACGTTAACAAAATATACACGACACCACGCGCCTTTACACAAACAAACTGCTCACCAACATGGAATGCGGTAACACTTGAAGATACATGTGCACACACATACGCACACACATACATACATACACGCACACAAACAAATATAGACCTACACACTGGTACACGTACACATGTAAACACGTACTAATTCACGCACATACACACGCACACAGATAGACAGACATACGCTTATAAATATATATGTACACACAGACATATAGGCACAGGTACACACGCACGTGCACATGTATATAGTAACATCCTTCCAGTTAGAAGATAATTAAAGTCAGTATCATATGACCTTGCTACATAATCTTCATGTGTCTCTTTGTACGTGTCTTTGTATGTGGGTATTTGTGTATATGTCAGTGTATGTCTGTGTGCATGTTTAATTAGGTATTTTCGTATATTTATGCGTATGTTTTTGTATTTTTGTGATTGTATGAAAATATACTTTGTTCAAAAAATGTGTTCATCTTTTTGTTTATTTGAATCTGTATGTTTGTTTGAATGTTTTTCTCTTTATTTGTTTGTATGTCTGTTTGTATATTTATTTGTATGTTTTTTTGTTCGTTTGCATGATTGCATGTTTTGTTGTGTGTTTGTTTATTTTCATTTCTATGCGTTATCTGTGCACGCACTATTGTTCTCAGTTCACTGATATTTTTTGGTGGGTGTCTGTAGTTTGCGTCATTACTAATAAAAAATATATATTCATTATCATTAATATTGTTATTACTCTTCTCAATAGTTCTATTTCGAACTAATGAACTATTACTTTTCGAAGTTCGTCCGACGTTCGGCGTTCACTTGCACAACTGCACTCGAGGAACTTATTATGGAACCCTTCACAAATGCAAACGCCCAGACGATAATTGCTGATGTTGCCTAGGAAAGCAAAACTGTTAATATATATATATATTTATATTTGTATATACTCATATACATATGATTGCTTGCTAGTGTTATTACACACTTAACTTTAAACCTATACATACAAAATTGTGCACTCGTTCAGTCAAAAACTTTCGCATACAATTCTGTGTACACGCTCAGATACAAACTTTTGTATACGAAATTGCATACAAGTTCACAAATAAATCAATGCATACAAAATTCACACACAAAATTCAAAAAAATATAAAACAGTTTCATTTGTATTCAAGCAAAAACATCAAAAACAATTTTGTTTGTTTGTACAACGAAACGAAACGAAATGAGTCTATGTATGTGTTTTGGTTTTTGAGGAACTTTCACAAATTTTGTTAAATGTTAATTT